CTCCTTCTGACTTTGCACTGTCCAGGCCCGTGGAAGGGGATAGGGGTGCCGAGGGAGGTCCTCCCTAAGTGGGGTGCTTGTCCCAGGCTCCTTCGGGGCCTGGTGGCTGCAGTCTTGGGACTCTGTGTTCTGTGGAAATGGATGGGTGTACACACAGCGTCGGAGGCAAGCCCTGCTGCCTGCTGTTGACAGCACATTTATCTTTATGTGAATTCTGTGTATTGTGTGCATCTCAGACAGAGCCCAGTCCCGGTGTTAATGTTCTACATGTAAATCTTAGCCCCTTGTGCTGCAGCTGGAGCTGGTCTCCTCCAGGGGCTCTGCATGCGTCTTTCCCATGCCCAGAACTTTCCAGCCTGTGCTATAGTACCTTCCTGTGTGTAGCTGCATGGTTATGTTCTAATGCATAGAAGGAAGCTAATGTCAAAGGACAAAATTACAGCAAATTTAAAGATCGTTCATTTTTATTTGTGCTCAGAATCACAGTACTGTCGAAGGTCAGTAAGTGTCTGAATGAATCGGTGTCCAGAGCTTTTCAGTGCTATTAGATTCTCTGGCCAGGGACCATTGGTCCACAGGTATGGGCCGGTCCTGAATCTCTGCAAAGTCATATTAAATAAGGAGTTGGTCATTTTATTAGTCGATTATTGTTTATTAAATAGAAGAGAAAGTATTTGTATTTAGGTCTGTGGTGGATAAGTTTTGAATGTACAAGGAACTCAAAACTGGGAAAGCTCATGTGATTTTATTAATGAAACTAAGTGACACGTGGATGGAAGGTGCATGTCAGTTTCCAGTGGCCTTGCACAAGGTAGGCAGGCCCTCTGCAGCCAAAGTACAGCCCGGCCTTTCTCAGGGTAGTTAGTTAGTTAGTTAGTTAATTATTTCTGAGGCAGGGCCTCACCAGGTTGCTTAGTTTAGGCTTAAATTTGTGGTCCTCCTGCCTTAGCCTCTGCAGTAGCTAAGATTATAAGTACATGCCGCCATACCTGGCTGTTGTTTTTATTTTAACTTACAGAATATCTCTTCCTTTTCTTGTTAGTTACTTGTATTTGGTTCCTACCAGTCAACTAACGGCTCGTAGGGGCAAGGACCTTGCCTCATGACCTGAGGCTGCTGTGGCCTTATGTCTATAATAGAAGTTTGTTTATACATTGAATCAAGAGATGGGGCCGCTTCTGTATCACTGTGGGCTGTTGTGTCAAAGATGCAGGACTGTTAATGAAGTGGGGAGCTGAGTTCTGATATCACCTGAGACAGAGGAAGAAGCAGATTCCTGCTGTTGGTGCTCGGCATATGTTTCTTCTAAGATTTGAGGTCTCTGGAGCTCACAGTGGCGTGTGGTCAGCAGAGGGTGACAGTCTTGTAATAGAGCTGGGTGTGTGAATGGGTAGGGGGCATCGGTGACCCCCCTAGTGGAAGGAGTAAAGAGACTGCAGTGCTGGAGCCTCACTGGGGAGGGCACAGCCCACCGGAAGGGGAACCAACCTGTGAGTGTATGGATGGCAGATTCTCACTGTAAAAACTGGAATGTAGGGGCTTAAGAGAGAAGGCAGGGACCAAAATAGTAGCCAAATCCAAATCCAATCAGATTAGGAGAATATTGGCAGATTAGCAGTGAGTCATTTAGCCACAACCTGCTCTCGGGTTAAATGTTTTTCTGTCACAGAATTCTTTATTTCATATTGACTTTAAATGCCATAGATAAATAAGATTAACAGGCTTAATGTTAGGGAAAACTTTATGGCTGACTTTATCAAATGCCCTATAGAACAAAATTAGATCCCTCATGAGATAAATATTCAGTCATCTTTCACGTCAGTGCACTATTAAATGTAAGCTGAGTGTAATTTGTACTGCTTATGAGGTGAATGATCTGTACTTGAAGTTATACAAACTTGTGTTGATTATCATGAAAACCGTCTGGTCTTCCCACCTTATTTTTAGGAACAGACTATAAAAAAATTAACCAGGTTTTTTTTATAAATCCTGTTTTGACTTTGGTCTGTGATTATTCCCAAGATTGTGACTCTCTGTGATTTCATTATGTAGTATTTCTTTACTTTTTTCACTGAATGGTGTAAAGCGTTTTTATTTAGATTTATTTATTTATTTATTTTTAGCAGTTTTTCTGAAACCTGGAAGTAGCACAAGATCCTTTTGATGCTGCTGTATTAAAACATCATTCAGGAACCAAATGGGCAAGAATGTGAACTTCTTTGAGGGGATTTTAATGGTCATTCAGCTTGTCCCTCCCTTCATTGGTGTGTTCATTGTCCTTGTCAGTAACATGCTTCTGAGATATTGCTGTAAGACCTTACACCCAATTAACTCAAGCCAAAGCCTTCAGAACAGTACTGTCCAACGTAGTAGCCACTAGGTACTTGTTGCCATTTACATGAACACTCGTTAAAATGAAATCAAATTAAAAATTTAGTTCCTTGGTGATACTGTCTGCATTTCCACCGTAGCTGCTTGTGGCAAGAAACTTCTGTGTTGAGCGGTGGGGCTTTGTGGGCATTTGCTTCACTGAAGGACGTTCAGTTGAGCTGTCTGCTCAGGATATTCCTTACTCCATGCCTGGAAGACATCTCAGCATCCCCTTCCACTTCTCAGCCAAGATCTGTATCTCTCAGATTTGTTTCCTTTCAGAATATCCCTTGTCTTAATTTGGATCTTCCGACTTAGAGCTCACGTGCAGTTTATGCTTCTGTGCAGCCTTCCCCGCTGCGTCCTCCCCCCAGTGGAGGCCCCTTCTCTGTGCTCTGCTTGCAGCGTGTGCACACCTGTTTCGTCCTGCTCTAGGGAATGCTACCTGCTTTTTAACATGTGCCCTTTCTTTCAGAGGGCTAAGAGGTGCTTGCTGGTAGAGGTGGGGCGTCTGTCATTTCAGAGTAGGTACATAAATGCTGCTTGACACATAATGAAAATGTACTTACTGAGAAGGTAGAGCCACAGGTGAATAATGATGGCTTTAGTAAGTTGCATTTTAAGGGCCAGAAGGAAACCTGGAACCGAAAGGTGGGCATTCCTGCCGTGTTCCCACACAAGCCCAAAGGTGGCCACAAGGGGGTGCTGTCATCACTACTCAGTTCAGCATGCACGGGAGCAGAGTTAAAATGATGGGACTCCACCTAAGAAATGTGCAGCCCTGGGCGGGCAGTAGAGCACCTCTGAATAGATGTGCTGTGTTTTACACTCACCAGCCTTGAGTGTAATGTGAAAGGACTCGAAGGTGTTCTTTCCACTCTGACATAAGGCTAGTTAATTCTTTGACACCTTCATGGTTCTTGACCTAACGTTAGAAACACTAGCTCAGTAGGAAATAAAATTGGGTGTGCATATGTCCAAGAGGAAACAGCCTGAAGTCTTAAGAGAAGACATTCCATAGTCAGACAGATTCATTCTTCATGCTGCTTTTTCCTAGTAATGTGATCCTGCACCAGACATCTGCTTCTTAAATTCTTTATTTTTGGTGGAGATATTATCTGCCTCTGAAGAGTAAATAAACTGTGTGTCAGTTTATTTACCACAGATGGTAGCCCTGTGGTTGGTATTCACCAAAATGGTGGCCAAAAAATTAGTAACAACAAAAGCAGTGTTTCTGTAGCCTTTCACATGGATGGGAAAATTCCTTCACCTAACTGACTGGCCAGAAAACACCGAGAATGTTGAAAACATTCCTTGTCCCTTGGCACAGTTACAACCATAGTTAGCTGGGAGTAACCATCTCTAAGGAGAATCATCAACTCAAGCAGTCGGATTCAGTAATCTAAAACCAAGAGGTAATTTAAATAAGGTCACTTTATGCTAATTACTTAGTGTGCTGTATGGCTGCTGCTCAGGAAGAGAAAGAAGGCTGTGTGTGCCTTCTGATTTTGAGTAAGCAAATAGGACAGGTATAAAACAGAGTAGCGCTGACCGATGCTGTGTCCCCCCATATTCTCACAAGAGTGCCAGCAGTCTTCCTGGCATTCCCAGAACCTCCTGCCCCATGTAAGTTAGGATGTTTGGGGAAGTTCTTTCTGGTAAACTCAGTTGCTTTTCTTCCATTTGGAAATCGCCTTCCCCAAGCCTTATTTGTCTTATTCTTGAATTCCCTGCGTCTGTTTGGCATACTTCAACCTACTTTTGGTCTACTTTGTTCTTGCATCTACCTGTTTGTATTAAAATTACAAGTATCTGTCACCCAAATAGGAAGTCATTTTCTTAATCAGTTTTGTGTATTTAATGTTTGAGGAAGGGCTGCTCACACAACATGCTTGGTAAAGTTCTGCTGCATGAATGAGCACCTGTTCAGTATATTTTTCTTGTATGTAATCTTCTGTAATAAATCATAACTGTAAGAAACTATTTTTCATTACCTCTGAGTTCTAACAGAGTTCTTGGCACATTGGCAAACACTGTTGGATTGCTCTGTAGCCTGGCTGCTAATATCCAGTATCCTGGAAGCACTTTATAAGATGCTTATAGGTCTCTTCAGCAGGTGTAAAATCTTTATTAAATAAAGTTTTCTCCATGTGCCATTAAAATATTTATAACATGATCACCAATATTTTTATTAAATTTAAATATTATTAGAAAAATTAATACAAATGCCCTCATCTGGTATAATTCTTATATAAATGATAATATTTTAATTCATTCTGTAAATAGTAACAAAGCTTGAAATGCATATGTTGTTGAATGTATGAACTGAGCAGTTCAATTGAATATACTTGTAATATACTTGACTGGTTTTCTACCCTTCGGCAATTACTAACTATGAGTTATTAAAGTTAATTTCTGAGTTTATTTCAGGAAAGGGAGTTGGAATTACACAGGAATTCACATACCATATTAGCTGCTTGCTTAAACTCATTAAAAAAACAACCAGTTCTGGGATTAGAGCTCCCTTGGTGAAATTGTTGAAATGTGAAATTTGAATTTAAAACTTTCTTGAAGACTGGATACCATTTTGCCTACTGGTATTTAATTTTGTTTTTATTTTTTCTTTTTAGTTTTAATTTTGATTGCTGTTACTACTGATACTAAGCTACAGCGGCGATGCTGCCTGAGGGAAACCTCTGCAACTGATAAGACAGCGCCTAGACGGTAAGATTGTGTGCCTTTCACCCTGAAAGTCATTTAATTCCTGAGACGTTATAGTATAGAAATTGAGCTGAAATAGTATAGCATATCAGGTGGTACTTTAGAGCTTTTGATCTTAACAGTTCAGGACTTTGAGACAAAAATTGTGAGTTGGTGTATTCATTTCATATTAAGTTTTTGGTGTCTGAAGAGTACGTATGGCCATCTAATTTGACTTACTAACTGCAGTCTCCACCTGGGTGGGTGGCGCATGCCTGTAATACCAATACTCAGGGGGTTGAGACAGGAGGGTCACAGTGAGTTGGAGGCCATCCTGGGCTATATAGCAAGATCCTGTCTCAAACTAAACCAGACCAAACCAGATCAAACCAAAACGGAAAATAAATAAATAAGTAAACCCAGAAAACCCCTCCAGAATCTTGCTAGTAATGAATGTTTTAAGCAGTCAAGACTTTAAAAACTTTAAAGCTTGTCAGCTTTATTGTAATTTACTCTGAACTGAGTTGGTGATAATTCCAGCTGTGGCTAAAATGAGTTTGTTGAATTATTGATGGTTTTAGTGATCTATATTGCTCTGTCTTTGAGGGGATAATTGAAAAGCAATGAGACCATCGGACTAGTACGGCAAGTCATTCCTTTGAGCATCACTTTTCTTCATGTGCCAAATGGTATCATTTGTCTCGCTTGTTTCTTAGAGCTCCAAACAAACGAGGTGATGCATGTGGAATCTTCCTCTTTTTTCTTTCTGAAGAGTAGGGAGAGAATAACAAGACTTTGGACTTTTGAGCTGGTTGGGAGAAAAAACACAAGGTAGTATCCAGAGTACTGTTCCCGAAGCCAAAAGACTTCTACCGCAGTCCTGTCTCCCTTTGACCTTGGGCATGTATCATTGTACTGACCGACCACAGGAAAATTGAGTTTGATTTCCACGCTTTCTGTTATGTGTCTATATTCTTTGACCACAATGGAAGTAAATTGAAAATCAGTATCAACTATCTGGAAAATCCCCAAATATTTAAAAATCAATGATCATATGCTGCAAACCCGTGCGTCAAAGAATAAATCTTAAAAGAAATCAGGAACTGTTTTCAATTCAATAAAATTTAAAACAAAACATCAAAGTCTTTGGGAAACACTTAAAGCACTACTTAAGGGGAAATTTATGGTATTAAATTCTGCTTATGTTTGAAAACAAAATTTTTGAAACAGCAGCCCCAAACTTGCTCCTGAAGAATTTAGAAACTGACCTGGCTGGTGGCATAGTTTTACCATGATTTACCATGGCTGATTTACCATGGCCAAGGCCCTAGGTTCAATCCCAGGTCCTGGAGGAAAAAATCAGAAACTCAAGAGCAAAGTCAATCCAGGATGAGAAGAAGGAAATAATAAAGAACAGAATTGATTACATAGAAAATGACCAAAAAAAGGTAGAAAAAAAACTTTTTTGGGAAGAGATAACATGTGATAAACTTGTTGCCACATTAACTAGAAATAAAGAACAGCAAACATTCTTATTACCAGGAAAGAGAGTGGGTCTGTCACTACAGATCCTGCAGATTAAAAGCACAACAGGGCACTAATGAGTCACTTAGTGTTCATGCACTCCTGACATTGAGAAGTGGACAGAATCTGTTAAAACACAAGCCGCCCAGCTGCACTCCAGAAGTAGATGACCTGAGTAAGGCCGTATTAAGATGTTGCATTGGTAGTTAAAGAAGTCACTGAGTGTATGTGACCCGACAGGGGAATTCTACCCACCTTGACTAGCGTTTTCTTCAGCAAACAGAAGGGAGGGAATGTGAGCTTGTTTTAGGAGGCCGGAATTATCCTGATCTCCCCCAGAATTGTTTACATGAATTATTAGTAAGTTAAAAACAGTTGATTTTATTGGGCATCTTCCCACAGGCTGGATGAGTCACATCCAGTCCTTCTGCCTAGGCAGAGGTGTTTAAGTTCTGCGAATCTCAGAGACAAAGATCGTTACTACCTTGTCATGTTCCCGTCACTGATCAGGTAGCAAGAACAGGAACGTGGAGGCAGCTGCCCCGGGCTTCTTGCTGATGGCCAGACTGCCAATAATGAAGGTAACAGGCCGGCTCAGTTAATTACACAGACTCCCAGGTACTAACAGAAGCAGCCTTAATGCTTCCTTCCGCTTCCACTCTTGGCCCGTTCCACAGTCTGTGGGGTCTGGTCTCCCTCTGGGCTCTGTTTCCTGCCGTGGGGACTTGGCAAGGGTCAGTGAAATGGAACCATCCTACGGATGGGACTTGAATACTAATAGCTATTTGGTGGCAGATTTCTCTGCTTACAGTCTAGAGTGAATTCGGTGCATGTTCAGTAATATAGCACAGGCAGTATGAGAGCATTTGGGTAGTGTAATTAACAACCTGAACCATTACTCGGATCAAGAAATCATATCCCAGGTGGCCTTGCTAGCTGAGAGTTGAGGGGAACAGTGAGAACTCTGCAGCATGCTGGGATTGAGTTTTTAGGACAACACCCAGGCCTGTTGTGTGGTCAGAAGGCAACTCTGCAAGTTAATGCCGTAAACAAGGCTAAGAGGGGGAGGTGACACCTGCGGCTGACCATCCTGTGCAGCAGTGAGCCTGGCTGCAGGAACACAGGTTGTCAATTCAGTTCACCATCGTCAGTAGACTAGTGACAGAAGAGCACTTCCTACACCCTGAATAGGGTAAATACAACTAGGAATGGACTAAGTTCAGTCTGAAGAGAGAGTTTCTAAAGAGGCCTCCACATCTATGGCCAGTTGATTTTTATATGTGACCTTGTTTGGCATTGGGATCTTTGTCCCACTAATCATTGATGTTAACCTCTGTAGCTCTTAGCAGCTCACAGCGCTCCCGTCAAAGCTGCCACTGTGGCAGAGGCAGGATTTAACTCCCCTCGAGGGACTGGAATCATCCCTTGGAATCTGGATTCCACCATTGCTCTGCAGGCTTATCCCAGGTTCTTAGGACATCTCGTTTCTTAAAGGGAAGATCTTCATCATTCCTGTAAAGGTCAAAGAAGTCTCCTCGTGATTCACTACCCTTCTAGGTTGGAAACTGGTTCTATCAGTGTTACGGTATCCAAATAGTGTATTTTGTAGAATGTGAGTACAGGTAGTGAATCAAACTCTTAAACTCCTGCTTGATAGCTGCATGGGCTCACTGTGTGTGGAGGCTGACGGGCTCTGCCCTGGTGGAGGTGTGCCACTATGTCGGTGATGGAGTGGAGAAGTATGAGGTCTTCTCCCACTGAGCACAAGGCTGGTGCTTGTGTTCCATACCACGACCACCCCTTGCCACTGACCCTTCTCCAGTGCCACTGCCTCTTGCTCTAATGGTCCCTCCAAGTGCCAGGTATTCTGCTACTCTGAGTTGCGGTTGTCTTCTGTGCCACTTCCATTCCTGTGAGCTTGGCTGTTTCCACAGTGACTGCCCTCCAGCCCTAGTGCCTGCCACCGGTGGACTGGCTATGGTCTTAGCCTCATAGCAGTCATATTCTGGGCCACGCAGAGCCATTGCTTGCTCAGATGCAGTCTGATGGTGAGGGTGTCCCATAGGTGCACTCCTTTACGTTTGCGGGTGGCTCAGCCTTCAGGTGTGCCAGCCCCAGATAATCGCTCGGTGACTGCAGCTTACCTGGCTTGAGCTCGCATTTGGGCTGTACCCACATCGTCCTGTCACCACCTGGATCTGAGACACAGCTTTCGTTTTTCTGTCCTTTGCACCATCAGTTTGGACAGATTTGGAACTTCCTGTCTCTACTTATGTATATCAGCACACACACAATGCACCACTTGTATAGATCCCTGTTAAAGTCCTGCAGTTTCATCTGCTAAATTTCACACAGAAGCCTAAATGGTGCTTTTAATCATCCCAGTGATGGTACCCAGATGGCAGAGAAAGAGAGTTCCTGGCTCCATGTTGGAGCAACATATCGCATGTGAGAGCCTGCTGGCTCAACCAGAACTCGGTGGTTGCTGCCAGCAGGATGTACGAGGACAGCCTCCACCGTGACTGAGGGAGAGGGCCTGGCTCAACCGGGTGCCCTCAGCCGCTGACCCACCCATGGGGTGAGCTAGCCGGGAGGACTGCAGCTCACCTGCAGGACGGGTCTAAGTCTGATGCTTGGCCCACAGCAAGCCTCAGGCCAGGGAGGTTCAAAGCCGAGGTGCTGCGGCAAGGAGGACAGCTTCATCCCAGTACAGAGACTTGTGTTCGAAGCCTGTCATTTGGAAGCTGCCTGCGACTGTGAATTTTTTTTTGGCGATTGCTAGGTTTTTCCAGACTAATAGGTCTTCCGCCACAATAGGTGGCGTCCTGTGAGTGATACCTGACTCTCACTGCCTAGGCACAGGTGTCTTTTAGTTCTGCAAATCTCGAAAAGAAAGATCATAGTTTTTTCAGGCTGTTCTTGTCATCAATCTGTTATGTTGGCACAGTGGACAACAGGTGGGTGAGGGTCGCTGCTCTGAGACTGCTGCCAACTGCCAAACCCCATGTAATGACGGAAAGCATTCTAGTGCTCAGCTTCACTGATGTGAAATGAATAACCCATTTAACCAGGTGCCGCTAAGGTCAGTGTGGCGTGGGTTCAGTACCTGAAAATCAGGGCAATCGGCAGCGCTGAAAAAAGAATTGTTTCTTTTTTTCTTTTAAGGAGAAGATAAAACAATTTCATAATGAGTAATAGGAGAGTAAAAATGATACATGGCATATTGTTGTCTGCAGAGTGGTTACTCAGACTGTAAGAGAGAGGCATGAAGCGCTGTCCAAGCAGTGTTGGCACAAACCTTCCTTTTCAGTGAACTAAGAAACTAGCTGTGTAGCTATCTGAACTCTCGTGTGTGTGTGTGTGTGTGTGTGTGTGTGTGTGTGTGTGTGTATACATGTTTTTGCTTTTCCTTTCCTTCCTTGTCTCCATCCCCCATCACAGTTCCTCTTTTGAACTGCTTCTTCCCAATTCACAATCCCTATTGTCCATTTTGGATCTTATTTATTCCTCCAGCTTTTCACACTAGTGAGACACACACTAGTGTGTTTAGTGTGATGTTTATATGTGTGGGTCTGGTTTATTTCACTTATGGATATTGTCTCAAGTTGTATCCATTTACTTGTAGTCTTGAGTTTATCCTTCTTTATGGCAAAGTAGTACTCCATTATATTAAAAATCCTTTTATTCATTCCTCAGTTGATTATTTGGGATATTTCTAAATTTAGCTGATACAAATTGTGCTTCTATAAACATAGGTGCGCCTATATCACTGTGGTGTGATGTTTTTAATTCTTCTGGGAAGATACTCAGAAGAGGAATAGTTGTGTTGAAGGGGGATACCTGTGTCAAATGGGACCCTCTAATCCTAGTTTTTTGAAGAATCTACACCGATTCCCACCTTCAGTGGAGAAGGGCTCCTTTTTCCCACAGCCTCTCTACCATTTGTTATTGGTTGATTTCTTGACAATGACCATTGTTTCTGGAGTGAGATGGAATCTCAGTGTTGTTTTAATTTGCATCTGTGAGATGCTGAGCATTTTTTCGTGTTTATTTCCCATTTGTATTTCTTGATCTAACAAGTGTGTATTCAGCTCACATTCCCATTTCTGGGCTGGGTCTTTGCATTTAGGGCTCTGATTTTTTTTCAGTTCTTCAAATGTTTTAGATAAAGTCCTTTGTCTCAGGGACACTGGCTATAATTTTTTCCCACTATGAGGTTGCCTTTTCACTCTGTTGGTAATTTCTTTTGCTGTATAAGAACTTTAATAAAGTGAGATCCCATTTATTGATTCTTTGTGGTATTTCCCATGCAGACTGGGTTTGGTTCGTGAAATCTCTGCCTATACCCTATGTCTTCAAGCTTTCTACTTAATTTCCCTTGCAGTAGATTGAGTGTTTGTTTTAATATTTAGGTCATTCATACATTTTAACTGTAGTTTAGTGAGTACATGGTGATATATATGGGTCTAGTTTTAGTTTGGCATATGAAAAGCCAGTTTTTCTAGCACTACTTGTTAAAGAGGCTGTCTTTCTTTCAGTGAACATGTTTGGCCCCTTCTTCAAAGATAAGGTGACTGAGTGTGTTTGGAGTTGTGTTTACATCTTTTAATTTGTTCTACTGATCATCGGGTCTGATTTTTTTCACCAGTACCATGCTGATTTCATCACTGTAGCTTTGTAGTATAATTTCAAGGATTATGATCCCCCCCGCCATTTTGCCTTTGTTGCCCAGAATTGCTTTTACTATTCGTGGCCTTTTCTGGTTCCAAGTGAATTTTAGGAATGTTTTCTGTAGTTCTGTGAGGTACGCAGAATGTCTTCTGATTGGGATTGCATTAAATTTGTTACGACAGTTTGTGAGTGTGAGCATTTTCACTGTGTTCTTCCTTTCCCTGAGCAAAAGATGTTTTTCCATTTTATGATACTCTCTTCCATCTCCTTTTTCAAAGTACTGCAATTTTCAGTATGTAAATCCTTTACTTCCTTTGTTAGATTTATTCTCAAGTATTTCATTTTTAAATGTACAACTCTTAGTGGAGTTTTTGGGGTCTTCTATGTAGAAAATCATGTCACTTGCAAATAATGATAATTCAACTTCTTCCTTTCCTGTTCTTACTTCTTTTTTTTTTTTTTTTTTTTTTGGCTTTTTCCTTTTTATAGGTACCAGGGATCGAACTCACGACTGCCTGCTTGTAAGGCAGGCGCTTATGACGCTGAGCTAAATCCCTAGCCCCTGTTCTTACTTCTTTCTTTCTCTTGTTTAATTGCTCTGACTAGTGTTTCCAGAATTGCGTTGAATAGGAGTGTTGATAGTGAACATCTTTGTCTTTTTTGTGATTTTACATTGACAGCTTTCTATTTTTGACCATTTAGTATGATACTAGCTGTTGGTTTTCATAGATGGCTTTTATAAGATTGAGATAAAGATTAGCTCTTTCAGTTTTCTGTAGGCTTTTTATCATGAGTGGGTGTTGGAGTTTGTTAAATGCTTTTTCTGCATCCATTGATATGGTCATGTGAGTTTTTCCTTTGGTCCTATTAATATTGAGTATGTATTGATTTGTGTATGTCGAACAATCCCTGGATCCCAGGGATGAATCCTGCTTGGTTATGGTGTTTAATTTTCTTGATGATTTATAGTATTCTGCTTGTCAGTAGCTTATTGAGGATTTTTGTGTCAATGTTTATTAGGGAGATTGGTCTGTAGTTTTCTTTATTGGTTGGATTCTTCTCTGGTTTTTGAATCAGGGGAATACTTACTTCCAAGAATGTTTTTGGAAGTATTGCTTCCCTTTTAATTTCTTTAAAGTGTTTTAGTATTAATGGTATTAGTACTTCTCAAAATTTCTTGTAAAACTCAGCAGTGAGTCTGCCAGGGCCTGGGATTTTCTCTGTTCATAAGCGTTTCATTACATTTTCAATTTCATTGGCTGATATCAGTTTATTTAGAGTTTTTATATCTTCTTGATTTAATTTTGGCAATTCTGTTGTGTCTGTGAATCTGTACATTTCTTGTGTTTTCCAACTGCTTGAAGTACAAGTTCTCAAAGTAGGTATTGATGATCTTCAGGATTTCTGTAGGATCTGTTGTGGTTTCCCTCTTTTCATTTGTAATTTCTTGAATTCATGGTTTTTCTTTCTTTTTAATGAAGTTGGCTCACGGTTTATTGATTTTATTTGCTTTTTCAGAGAACCAACTTTTTGATTCATTGATTCTTTGTATTGTTTTCTTAGTCTCAGTTGCATTAATTTTTGCTCTTTATAATTTGTTCCCTTGTATAAACTTTGGGTTTGATTTGTTCTTCTTTTTCTACAAGTTTGAGGTTCAACATTAACTAAATAAATAAAATGTTTATTTGAGCTCATTCTGTTTTCCTGATGTGAGTTCATTGTTACCAGTTTTGCTCATAGAACTGCTTTCATTGTGTCCCTTAAGTTCTAGTATGTTGTGTCTGTGTTACCATTTAATTATCGATACTGTTTAATTTTGCCTTTAATTTCCCCTGTAACCCATGGGTTGCTCAGAAGAGTGTTGTTTAATTTCCATGTGTTTATGTTTTGCCATTGATTTCCATTTTCACTGTGCTATGGCCATGTGGTAGCCTGACAACTGGTGGACAGCTTATAACAACCAGCTGAAGTGAATCAGTGTGGTGCTGAGTGTGGAGGGCCCACGCGGGATTGTTGCTGAGATAAAGAGGAGAACTGGAAAGGAAGAGGTAGTATTATCAGTTTTCTGGGTGTTGTTGGTCCTCCTGGTTGTTGTTCGTTCTCCTGTTGCCATTGGCTCTCCTGGAGAGCTTGTCAGGCTTCTTCCTGATACAAACTTGGCTGTTCTCATCATCAGAGGAGCTTGGACCTCGTCATAGCTGAAAATGGCTGCAGCTCACTTTGGGGGAGCTCTGGTCCTGACTTCATCACCTCCTGGCTGTGGAGGGGAAGGTGGTGTGCTGTTCAGCCTCCGGGAGAAGTTTGTCATGCTAGCTTCCTGATATGAACTCAGCTGTTTTCATTGTTAGAGGAGTCGGGACCTTGTCGCTGAGGATGGCTGTGGTACTTTGCAGGGGAGCTCTGGCCCTTGTGAGCATCATTTCCTGGCTCCAGTGCAGAACCCTCAACCTACTGGCACAGACTTTCTAGCTTCCACTGCTGACCTAAAATTACACAATACAGTATAATTCCAGCACTTGGGAGTCTCAGGCAGGATTGCTGTGAGTTCAAGACCAGGTTACATAGCGAGACCCTGTCTCAGAATACCAAAAAACTAATCAGTGAGTGAAGGAAGACTTTCCCCTTAGAGTAAGGCAGGCACCGATCATTTTCTTTTCTGTTTCAACATTATAAATTGTTGTTAATACAACACAGCAAGGAAAAGAATTATAAGACATACAGATAGAGAAGGAAGAAATAAATCATTCGTAATTCTTTTAATGAGAGATCCTCAGAAACGTAAGTACAGTTTTGAGCCTCTGTTACGAGGAAGAAGAATAAGGAGATAGATGCTGACAGCCAGTCTACATGGCTGCTGCATGTGCGTGTGTGTGTGTGTGTGTGTGTGTGTGTGTGTGTGTGTGGTAGGAATCTGAAAGTCTTAAAAGCAACGCAGTATTTTTCTTTGTGCTATTACAAATGGAACAACTTTGAATGGCACTTGAAAAGTATGCATTAAAGTCATTATGTAGCTTTTGATTTTAATTTTAAAAAGGCATTTGATACTTTAAGATGCCCTTTTAAGTTCCGAGGTCAAATTCATTAGATGTGTTGTAACTATCATTTACCGTTAATGGGTTACAGTTATTTCATATGCTTAGGATAAATTGACATACTTTGTGTAACATTAAAGGCAATGCATTGACTTTTTGATTTCTGTTCAGTTATTTCCAAATATTTGCTTATTTGTATTACAGATTTTAGTATACAGTTCAGAAAATCTGAGTTCTGGTTTCAGCTTCCTAGGATAGTATCCCTGGTTGGTTTTCCTGAAATTTTGTGAAACAGATTTGTAGTGTGAGTAGAAATTTAAATGAGTACCTGGCTAAATACGGTGTCTTTCTAGCAGGGGCAGCAGCAGTCCTAACTTTCCACTGCCTTACCACTCACTGTGCTGCAGCACCCAGTCATAGGAGGTGAGTGTAAGGGGGGTGGATAGATAGATAATCCTGAGTTCAAATGAGAAAACTTAAGGCTTAAGCTTTTGTGCAAAATCCATGCAATCCATGAGCCTCAGTTCCCTCGTCTGTGAAAAGCAGGATAGTAATCTTAGGGAGCTGCTGGAGGCTTTCGGGATAATCCAAAAGCACAGCAGACAGTGGCCAGGCAAGCGGGGACTCTAACGTGGAGCTTTGCTGCAGAAACACTTTATGCTTTTGGCATCTCTTAGAACTGTTTTGAATTAAGTTCTTATACATAGTGGTTTAGATAAATTATGTAATCTATTTGAGTTCTGATTTCTTTGTTAAATAGGCAATAGCAAACTCCAAACTAGCAGTGAGATGTAAATGACACAATGTATATAAAATACTCAAGTAAAATATTCTCATTTCATCATTTAATTCGTTTATTACCAGTGGATTTGTGATTCTGAGTTTTTTAGGTGACTTTTCTATAAGTTACTCCAGAGCTCTAACATTGCCATTGGATGGTGATCATTATGTATTTGCTGGGAGATGTTCAGAAGAATGGAGCTGATGGGAAGCCAGAGTTGGAAGCTTTGAGACTACGTGTATAGATTGCACATTTAGATATTTTACTGTCCAGTAGGATATACTTGGTTATCTAGTATTTTTTTTTCACGACTCAAAGAATTAAGAATAATTAATTAAAATAACATTTAATTTATCTTAACTTTTTTTCACTAATGCAATTTCTAGTTACCAAAAATAATGCCATCAAGATGTTTCTTTTTCTAAAACAGAAGGTTGGTAGCATCCTTGTGAAAGGCTTACAGGGGATTAAATAGCTTTACTGAAGTTTTATTCTTACCCTGTTTTATTGTATCTATTTGTATGAAATTGCTAACATTTGACCAATACTGGTAAACAAAAATGGCGATTTAGGGGCTGCAGTGTGGCTCAGTGGTGAAGTGTGGGTGTAGGTTGCAGGAGGCCCAGTTCATCTTCTTCCCAAATAAACGTATTTCATATGACCCAGTTGTGTGTTTTGGGACATGGTGACAGTGTTTTCTTTTTGCACACTTGACAAATGACTCGATTTTATAATTTGTTTTCCTTTGGAATTTAAATTTATTTTTAATGCATTTTCTGTTGTCATTGTGTGATTTGTGTGATGAATGTCATTCTTACATCAATTAGTACAAGAATTAGTTGTGTAAAAATATGTGAAATACATTTCTTAACCAGAGTTGCTTATTTTAAGATTTGTAACTTATAGTTAACTAGATGTTTAGAGAACTGGACAAGAAAAAAGTCATAGATCATAATAGAAGATTTTGACTACTTGTGTGATACCAAAAATACAGTGAATACTTAAATTTTAAAATTTATTACGAAGACTCATTGCCATTAATCCTCCTCAAAGTCTCTCCCTTTGCTTTAGATACACTTGCCGCTTTCTGAAGCAGGTCTGGAAGTCTTCTCGTGAATCTCTTTGGTTGCATTGTCGTCGCTGCCTAAATGCCCGGAGCTGATGCAAACTGTTTACCTTTCCTGGTCGGTTCTGACTTTGGGAAGAGCTCCAAGTTTCATGCCCCACGTCCTGTGACTAGGGTGGGTGAAGGCGTACCGTGGCGCTTCTCGCCTGCCATTTGGTTGGATTTCCCTGGGCAACAGCGTGTGCTGTATTTTATTTTTTTATCACCCTACAGAAACACACTCAAGGACAGGACATTAGAAGCGCTGCGGAAGGTGATGAGAATGGTGGGATAGACTTATTCACGGTGAGGCCAAGTGGGGAATATTTTGAAGAGGATTAATAACAGTGTGTCTCTTAGTGTAATCCATTTTTAAATTTAAATATTGACTTGTAGAGTTTGATTACATCTCATAAAAAGTCTCAGATTTTTTAAGATCAGTATATTTCAGAAAAGTCCTATCTCTGGTATGTGTTGGTAGGCTGAGCTTCAGCATGTTTATTGATGTATTTTGCAGTACCAGAATGTTCAAGGGCAAGTCCTTATGTGGCCATGTGCTTGTATTTATTTTTGGTTAAGTACCAGGAATAGGATGACTAGATGACCTGGGAAATTTTAAGACACTGTCAGTCTCTTTCAAAGTGGTTAAGTGATCTGTGTTCTCCTGAGTGCTTGTAAGGGTGTGTGGTCTTTTTACACTTAGCCATTCTCACAGAGATACGCAGTGTGACCCGGGGCTCTCATTTGCTTCTCACTAATGACTGGAGGTGTTGAGCGTGTTCTGTGTGCTTATTTGCTGTCTGTATAATTTCCTTGGCAAAGTATTCCAATCTTGCTTATTGAAAATGTGATAGTTTTATTTTGTTTTGACAGCTTTTTTTTTTTTACCACAATATCTAGAGTCTTTATTAAGAGGGTACAGCCTTCAGACTAATACCCAGCCATCAACATACAACTTTACTTCTCACCTAAAGTTAATAAGAATACATTTTATTTTAAATAGACAATGAGCCAGTATACCAAGAATTAAATTCTGAAGTTTTGATTTTGTACTTTGAATACCAAAAAAGCAGTAACTTTTGCAATAATGAAAATATGAATTAACTACAAAGAGAAAAGTAGATATTTAAGCCATTTCATTCTTAATACCATACAATAAAAACACATGTACTTAAAATTTTATTCTATAGATAACACACTTTATAACATTATTATTCCTTTAAAATAGTACAAATGTTTACAAAGAACATTTAACTTAAATTCCACAGTTGCTTACAAAATGGTACTTGCAAGACTGACCTATTCAGGCCAGAAGTGGTTGCCACCACACCTGTAATCCCAGCCCTCAGGAGGCTGAGGCAGGAGGATTGCCACAAGTTCTAGGCCAGCCTAGGCTACACATTAAGTTCTAAACCAGCCGGAATTAAACAGTGAAACCCTGTCTCAAAAAAAAAAAAAAAAAAAATCCAAACAATCAACGTATATAAAGAAGTAAATACCTTGCCAGAAGAGATGGTATAAATATAAATATATCACAATATTAGATACCTCATGGTGCTCCATAGGAAAACAATAAAGACAAGTCAGGCTGTGGGCAGGGGGACTTAGCACTACAAATTTAAAGTGTCAATTTAATTATGAACTCAAAAAAGAATAAATTTAAACCTCTCATTACCACATAATCTGTTTTAGAAACAATAAAAATGATGTACTTTTTGAGTATGTGCACATCAAAACCAAAAGCTAATTTTTACTTTTTCCTTCATTGGCAACTTTCACAGTGTGTTTAGGTTTCGGTTCCCAGAGGCGTTCTTCACAAACCTTGAAGCTGCACCTCTATCCAGCTTGCCAGCCTTTTTCTTGTCTGTTATTTCCTTCACTCGATTCATGCGTACTCTGATTCTTGCCAATTCTTGCTTTACTGGATGTTCCTTTGGATTGACTCCTTGAGTAGCTAAATAAACCCAAAACATTGAATTTAGTGTGTATGTGGAAAGTAAGTCCACTTCAGCTTGTCCGAGGGGGTCCAGCTTCTGCAGCAGCTCTTTTCTTGACACAGACATCAAGGTCTTCAGCATCTCATCTACAGCACCTGTGAAATTCTCAGTTGTTGACAGGTGCTCATGAATTTCTACTGGATAGTCTTCAGTAATTTCTTCATCTGCCATTATGATCAACTTGACACCTTCGATTTCCGGCTCCTGAAAAAAACTTACATAGATAAAACCTCTATCAGATACATGATTTGGACTTCCTGTTGTATAAGTAATTTCTTTCCATTTTTACTTCAGGTGAAATTCTTGGGTGTGCTGTGGTATTATTGTTTCTTCTTAATTTTGGCACTTTCTTTAATCTCCTCCCCACTCCACAAAAAGGAACTCACTCCTTGCCATTCTCTTTCTTCGTTTCTTCTCCTTTGGTTTGTATTCTCTTTTGCTGGTACCAGCTTCTTGCCTGGCTGTATGTGAGTTAATGCTGTAGGGGTATGTATGTCGCTGCTTCCAAGAGCTTCAGGCTGGGGCAGGGCTCTGCACTAGGCTGAATGTGGAACACATAAGTTTATAAGATTGGCCTACAGTGGCGGCCCTGAGTCAGCTCGGGACGAGTGCAAGGATCTGTCCATGCACTGCAAATCTAGAGGGTCCAGCCAGAGGCCTGGAGCCCACGGCAGTCTCCTGTGTATACAAATCTATGGCCAGAGGTTGCAGGGCCAGCACTGGAAGCTAAAGAGAGCGCTGGAGCTGAGGAATCTGCGCGGAAAGGCAGGCAGTGAGGCCCCAGGTGAAGCAAGGACAGAGCTCCTCTGAGGAGTACCAGACGTTCCTCTGAGCAGACGAGCCAACATAAAGCTCTTCCCACGAAACCAGCTGAACGCCTTCCTCCTGCTGTCCTCTGTCCCATCCTGACAACAGGTTGGGCGTCCCATGCCAGCTGACAGTCAGTTTACTACCACAGGTTGTCCGTCAGCCTCTCTGGTACGGCCCAAGGGGAGCCTAATTAGTGGATATCTTGGTTTGGCTGTGTGGTGGACACCTCTTCTTCCCTGACTCCTCTGGGGATTTGCTGTTTCAGTTCTGTTCTGGATTGACAGGGCTTTACCGGGGTGTGTTCAAGGGTTCACGCCTGCCAGAAATACCAAAAGGTACTTCTCATGGCAGGACAGGGACTCTCTGTCAGCAGTGACAGTGCTGGAGACAGCCTGCTGCATCCCACAGTTTACCAAACATTCTTTAGAGCTCATTTAATGACCTTTACTTGTGTGTAATTCCAACTCTTTCAACTTGCTAAGTAACCTAATGTGTGGCCTTTGTTTGTTTTTACAACTTTTTCTACATTTTTAAAAGAATGCATTGTCATATTTATGCACAACATTTAAAAATAGCTATAAATTAAATTTGAAATGATATTACTCAAATCTTATTTTCTGTGTATTGGTTTCTGAGAAAAGTGTATCTTCTGCAAAGAGAATCTGATATTTATGGTTGTGATTTTTAAATGCATTTTTCCCCATGAGATGTGAAATGAGTCTTTCGTCCATCTGTTGTATTGCTTTTCACCTTGAGTTCTGAATGTGACTTATATTAATTGCTTCCCCCACCTCTTTCAGTATTTAACATTTCCCTGGTGTGTCTTTGTAGTTGCTTATTTTATCCCTTCCCAATTGTTTCATTTCAGATATACTCTTGAATATTTATGTTTAATTTAGTCTTATTTAATTGTTATGTTGCTTTTTTTTTTCAAACAGAGTCCTTTGACATAGAGGGTGACAGTGGACTCCAGTCTGCTTGGGTTTGACTATATAGAGTTGGCCAAGTTTCCTTTAATTATTGGTGTTTCTGATTTTTCCCTGTAAAGTGGAAATATTGGTGATTTCTGTCTCATTTTGTAAGAATCAGGTGAATGTATATATATATACATGTCTACGCTTGACATTTGTTACAGTTTATTGCTAGATAATCTCCAAGAGCCTCACGTGCCCATATGCAGGGTTCAGAGAGTGATGGGGCTGACTTGCTGTTAGGAGGTAAGAGCCTGTTTGGAAGAGGCAAATATGTTCTGTAGCCCAGCGTACTGAGTATCTGGTTATATAGACACCAGGGCCATTAGAAGTAAAACCTAACTGTATCTTAAGTATTTTATATCTAATAGAAACTTAGATAGAAGTTCCAAAATTCCAAAATTTTTAAGATCTGAACTAAAGTGAACATACAGAGATAGTGCAGTTGGGGCTATGACACCACTCGCTCCTCTTACTTGAACTCGGTGTCATCCCATGTCCACTCCTCCCCACCAGGATTACTACCAGGAGGCAGAGACGAGGAAAGCAGAGATCCCTGAGCCAGCCTTGGAAAGTTCCAAACTAGGATGCATGTGTCAGTGACCTATAGCAGTGATGGCGAACCTTTTAGAGACTGAGTGCCCAAACTGTAACCTGGAACCCATTTACTTATCACAGAGCCCCAACATTACAATTAACACTGAATACTGAGGTTTTAGTTTAGAAAAACAACTTTACATTTTATTGACATCTTTTGCCTTAAAAATGCAGTAACAGAGCTTTCAGTGATACAAGCAGCTTTTTATTGAAAAGTACAAGTTTGCATTTGGCATGCTTTTGCATAGTTAATGTGATCCTTGCTGTTGTGTGCATACTGATAATCTGTCAACCCTTCACTGAGGTGACTTGGCTTGGGTGCCCACGGAGAAGGCTCTGCTTGTCCACTGTGGCACATGTGCTGTAGATTTGCCATCGCTGACCTGCAGGAGCCTTTTTTTACCTGGAGCTCATTGGAGGCTCACGAATGTGAACTGCATCTCCTAATGTCAGAGGAGAGTGAACTATGGGAAAGAACATGCCAGTTATATTGTTTAGAAAAACCCAGTGATGTTTTTACAAAGTGGAATACTACTTTTAAGAGTTGAATATAGACTCTGTCGTTCCCTGCAGTGCAGTGGTGGTGAACCTGTGGTACTCATGCTACTGTGGGCCGTTTGTTACTGAGAGCTCGAAAGAGTCCCAGCGCTGCTTTGGTGTGGGTTGGGCAGTTTCCCTGTGCCAGGCGTGGTGCTGCAGGAGTGCTGTGCATGTATCCCCATCTCTCTTCCCACCCCTACCCCACCAGTGAGATCAGAATTTCTGATTGTGTGTTAATGTCTGGGTTTAAGAAATACCTTTAGTGTAGCACTTGTCACGCTCCATTCTAACTTTACTTACGAATCTGTCTCTCACTAAACCACTAACTCCCTAAGGAAAAGGATTTTGTCTTATTGTTTTTGTCTGTTGATTCTTGTATTTTTGTCAACTAGGGCCCAGTGAAATTACCTTAAGTTTTTGGAGAGTAGGTGTATCCAGCCTGACAGTTTCTGAAAGCCAGCTGAATATCTTCGAGGAAACAAAGCACACCAGAGCTGGAGGGAACCAGGAAGGGAAATAGACCCACTCTGATTAAGAGACTTGCTCTGGATCATAGAGTGTTGGCAGCAGAACTGGGATTAGAACACAGGTCCCCAGGTTCCTAATCAAGCATTGTTTCCTGGAACCTTTGTTTCTCTCACCCTGCACAAAAATGCCTCATTTCAAGTAGCAAAGGTGGACGTTTATCCCAGTGAAGTGCTCTGATTAAATTTCATGTGGTCTTTCTTCTCTTTCCTTCCAAATTACCACTTTTCTGTAGAGTGTAAATTAAAGAGGAGGTAAGGCGTGTGACTGTAGAGGGTAATTAAGCAGTTTGGGGATTCAGAAAGCACAGTCATGTTTTTCTCTGTGGAAATGCAGTGTGCTTAGTGACTGTCTTCTGGGAAATGTCGGGAGGCACTGGACTGCATGCAGGGTGCCATGACATTGAAGTAGAAGACATAGCCCTTGCCCTTCAAGATAGAAAAGGTACGCTGAGGTGAATGGGCAGAGGAAGCATTCGGGCTAGCACTGTGTCACCATGTTCCGTATGGGTGTTGTCACAGTCCACTTCTGTGTGGGTCACTTTGATTCTGAGATAAATGCTGGTAAATGTGTTTAAAATCCAAACATCTGCTGAATGTACACAGTTTTGTGAGTATAATGTAGTCTGTGCTGCCTGATTTAGCTTTGCAGTACACTGCACTCTAATTGCCTGGCACATACCAATCAGAACAGAGGTTACTGGCATACCAGGAATAGAAAAGACAAAGTCATTGACACTGCCAGGTTCTGGAAACTGCAGACACTCTCAGAACTCACAGGCTAGTCATTGATACATAGTGAAGGAAGAAGCCCATCCCAAAATCCACGTAGTTGAACAGGTACACTCATCTAACCCTATTAGGAATAGGGGTTTAAAATATGTGATAAGGACTTAACAACATTCAGTTACTGAGATTCCACAGCCCTCTCTGCAGTGCTAGCACACTCTGGAGAAAGATCACAGTTTAGGATTTCAGTTTAATTTGCATGGCCCATTGCAGCACGTTCTACACGTGAAAGCTGCTATCTGCACCAATCTAGGAGTAGTGTTCTTTTCTTTCTAGCTTGCCCGTTTTGGAGTCCACACAGGTGAATACTGAGAGGGTATTTAGTGTTCATTCATCAGGAATGTCAGTTTGCTGTTTTTTTCTCCTTCATGAATATAGGTAATAATTTCAAGTCTTAAAGAAGAAATAGCTCAAACGTTAATTTGGCTCGTACAATGATGACATAGTGATTCTCTTCCAATTAGGATGTAAAAATTTGTGAGAGAACATTGCTTCATTAAAAGAAAGGAGAAAGCCATGAAGTAATAGCAGTTCTTAAATTCTCAAAAGGGCAAGCCTTCACGAGGAGAGACAGGACGTTTGGGCAGTTTCACCTATAGCAGAGCACAGGAGGAACAGATTTCTACCACAGAAGAAAAGATTAATTGAAATTTTAGAGGTTTTTTTTTTTTTTTTTTTTTTTTTTCCTGGATCTGAGAATTGAACCCAGGGGCGTCACACTGAGGCAAATACCCAACCCTTAAAAATTTATTTATTTATTTATTTATTTATTTACTTATTTATTTAGTGTGTGTGGATTTTTTGAGACAAACTTGTAAGGAACCGTGTGAGTCAGAGACCGACCTAGACTACAAGGCCTGTGTAAAGGCAGTGTGTGTGGAATTTATCATGCCTGGGTGCAGGCAGACAGAGGGTGAAAAGGCCGTCTGTAGGGAGCAAAGGGAACCAGGCTTTTTAATAGGG